AGGGGGAGTTTGTTTAAACTCCGGGAGTTAAGGTTAACTCCGTCATCAATTGTTTGTCATCATCAAAAAGGGGAAGATTGTTGAATCTCGAATTTTGATTATGAAACCAATTGATAGTGTTTATGATTTAATCTGCATTTTGAGTAACGCAGGGTGCTTCGATCAGGGAGAGACAACTAAGGCAGGAAGAATCATTTTAGGCCGGAGAAACATGTTAGAAAATTGGACGTCGGGCCGAAGGATCGATTGACGTATCAACAGAAGGCTTCGAGCCATGGATTCGGGCATCGGGCGAAGAAGAGCGGATATTGCGCCAAGAATATTGGAATTGCAGAGGTCAACTGGCCGATTGGGCAATAGGCCGCAAACGAGGATGATGCACCGAAGAATCGGACGAAGCGTCGATGGACCAATGACATGCCAAACGATATGATTCATGCTTAGTAATAATTATCTAGATCAAAGTATATTTTTATGTGTGCAGGATTAACTACGATAGCAAAGCATAAAGAAAAATGAAGTCTCAGAGTCAAGAACACGAATTCGTTGGGAGTTTGAGAGTTCATCGAAAGTCCGGACGTTCATCGGAAGTTCTACTAGAATTGACCAAGAAGTCCTGGAGCTTGCTAAAGAAGCTCGTCAGAACTTGCTAAGATCATTGTGAAGTCCAGGAGCTTCCCGGGAGTCAGTTGGAACATTGCCGAGAGATCATCGGAAGTTCACCGAAAGATCGCCAGAAGCTCGCCAGAAGAAACCAGACTTATCTTGCTTAGATTATGTCTTTGGAATCGTAGTTAGCACATAAGTAGAGTTGTGATTGGGAGGTAATCTCATCAACTCTGTTAGGGGCCAACTAGGCCCAAAGTTGGACTGGTTTGGGCTGGATTCAAGGCCCAACTAAGGTGTTGAAACCTTGGTCGGCGGTGGCACCGCCTAGGGAACAACACCCTAGGAAACCTGGGCGGTGGTACCACTGACAGCAATGTTGTTTGACGGTGGTACCGCCCAGTACCAGATCCTACGGCGGTAGTATCGCCCAAGAACGATGGTGGTACCACCAGTACCTAGGAAACCTGGGATGAGACCTTTTTAGGCTCCAAGTTTGAATCAACTTGAAGCCTATATATACCCCTCACATTCCTAGTTAACATACATAAGTACAGAGAGTTTTAAAGTGAAAAAACGCTGTAGAAATCACTTGAGAAATCCCTCCTCTAGATCTAACTTTAGAATTTAGTTTAGATAGGAGTGTGTGTACTTGTAAAAGTTGACTCCTAAACCTGTAAAAAGGAGAAGAGGGGTGTAAGAAGGAGGTTGATCTTTGCCTATTAAAGGAAGATCGATAGTGGATGCCGGTGACCTCAACAGAAGAGGAATTGACGAAGTGGATGTAGGTCACGATGACCGAACCACTCTAAAATCTGGTTTACATTTACTTCTTGCTATTTATCTTTATTGCAAACTGAAATCCTCCTTCACTACCTTTTTATACAATTTCAAGTTAACATCTTTACGAAACCAGTTCTAATCGTATGAAGGATTTTGAAGACGTGATTTTACCGCTACACTAATTCACCCCACCTTCCTTAGTGCCGACTTGTTCCTAACATAAAGAAGATCGTTAGTGGATGCCAGTGGCCTCGACGAAAGAGGAATCGGGAGTGGCAATATAAAACTTGGTTTGCATTTCTATTTGTGCAATTTACCTTTACTTTAACTGCCTTACTTGTTTTACTTTCTTATTATACTCTTCGGTACACTTTCAAGTTAAGTATCTTTTCGATACTAGTTTTTAATCATATGAAGTTTTTTAAAACCGATTTCGTTTTTATCGCTGCACTAATTCACTCCCCCCCTCTTAGTGCTGGCTCGATCCAAACACCTCTTTATGATATAAGGTAAAGGAGGAGGAGATGGATAAGCAAGAAGTAGAGAGGTAGATGAAGGAGGCTAGGAGGAGGCTATGGGGGAGGGGGAGGAGGTGGCAATAGTAGAGTAAAAGTAAGAAGAGGAGGAGAATGAGACAAAAGTGGAATGATAGATAAAGTGGGAGAAAGAGGAAGCCAAGGGGGATGAGAAGTAAATGAAGAGAGGGAGGAGGAGGGAGACAAGAAGGGGGAGAAGGCTATGGTGTGGGAGGAGGAGGTGACGAAGATGAAGGTGATGTGGGAGAGAGTGGGAGAAGAGGAGGCGGCAGAGATGGAGAAAGCCAATAGGGAGAGGGAGGAGGACAAAGCCAATGAGAGGAGGTGAGGAGTAATTTGAGAAAAATTAAGGGATAATTTAGGGCTTAAATAAACCAAACTAGGTAGCTAAAGTTTAGTTAAATTCGTTTGGTCTAATTCAATTGAAAAACTCGATTTAGTTTTAAAAAACTAAGTCAAGCCGAGTCAAAGCATAATCACCATCTTTTTATGATTGCACTGAGGTATGTTGATTAAAGTTCAAATGAAAGGATGCCCTATGGTAAAAATCAAATATTGGGGTAGCATTCAATAAAAGCCGATTAATAAGGATTTTTGATAAATTACTAAAAAAATTTAAAATATACAAATGATAAACTCAAAACCAAAAATCTAATCAGAATAAGAAAAAAGAGCCTATTAATTAGAGCCTACTTTTTACTATTGATAATCCCTTTAAAATTAATAAAATAATATTTTATTATTTATAACCCTTCTAATTTTGATTTTTTTATTTTGTTCTTCATTATATCCCTTACTATTGTTGCTTGTGTACCTGAACCAACACCGATGCTCCCTAGTGTTCTCTTCATTGATCGTCGCACCTATGCCTATTATCAATTACCATCTCTCCGCCCATGCTTCTTACTAATCATCACTCAATCTGCTCCCCAACTCATGCTATGATCTTGTTTGTTGCTCACTCAATACTATCCTCAAGGAAGAAGAAGAAGAAGAAAAGAAGAAAAAAAAGAATAATAATAATAATAATAATAATAAATAATAGTAGTAATAATAATAATAAATAATAATAATAGTAATAATAATAAATTGGAAAAGGAGGAGGAGAAGGAAGAAGAAGAATGAGGGAGGACAAAGATGAGAAGATGAGGGGGAAGACGAAGAGAGTATTCGTTTATGAAAAATAAAAGATATTAAAAATTTTAAAATTAGATTGTAAATAATAATTTCTTAATAAAATAAAGATTATGGGAAGATTTTGATATAAAATCCTTATTTTCCATAATGCACTTACCATTTGCAAATATGCAAAATTATAGTGTTTCATTGAGCCGATTATAATTTTTCTAAATGAAGTTATAATGTTTTGGTTCAGTAACTAAAAATAATTATGATTCCATTAAAAAACTCTACAATCTGAGTTCAATTATTTTAAAAACCATCATTCCATTAAAAAACTCTACAATCTGAGTTCAATTATTTTAAAACCCATCAACCTTAATTATTAATTTTATAAGACCTAAGTTTCTATAAAATGAGTTAATTGAAAATTTTTGAATGAAAAATTAGTATTATGTTTTATATTTTGTAATAAAAGATAACAAGTCCTCAATTTTTCACATAATGTTAAATTTAGGTATATATATTATAAGAAAGCTTATAATATTTATATCGATTTATTATAAAAATAATAATGATAAAGGATGTGATATTATCTTGTTTCATTATTTTTTAATGGACTTATAATGATTTTTTGTTACTCTACCAAACTATTATTAATCTTTGTTAAAGTATTTTAACAAAGACTTCATTAGTTTAAATCTTCATCAACTTAATTATCATCTCATTGTAGATTTTGATATTTTAGAAAATGACTTGAACAAGAACAAATGTGGTTTTGGATGAAAAGTAAGAAGGTTTTTATATATTTTAAAATACATGAAGACCAAAACTTTTTTTTCTCATATAACATTAAATTTAGTCTATATTTTTGTTTCCATTTACTGTGGAAGAATAATAATAAATAAGGGTGAAGCACTACCCAATTATAATTTCTTAATGAAATCATAATATTTTTATATTAATAAATAAAATATTATAATTTTATTTAGGAACATTACAGTTAAGCATTAATAAATCTTAATCTGTATAATTATTAAATTTATTATATGTCTTAAGATTATATAACGTAATTTATATGATTGCCACATCAGTTTTGCTAAAAGTTAGGATTGTGTAAATATATTTCAGAAAAAATAAAAAAATAATTCTTTTCTCATTTATCCTAATTTATGTATATATATCTTGAATAACCTAATAGTATTTGTTTTTTCATCATGGAAAAAAAAGATGAATTATAATATTTTTAAATAACGTTTATTATTGAATTAAAATAATATAATTTTATTTAAAAATTCTATGACTATTTCAATGATAAAAAATATTATATCTCTATTAAAAAATATTTCGACTAGTCTGGTTCAATTTAGTTGGTTGGGATATAACGATAAAATAATTATTCATGATGGAAGGATATTTTAGATACTTGGAAAAGATAAGAACTCTGAATTATAAAAACATAAACTAAAATGTGAGTCATTTCTAAGAAAAATGGCGTAAGATTTCGAACAAAAACTAATCGTCAGATGAAAAAAAAAAAGGATGAACATGACATGTTATGGCTGTCCTAACTATCGTACGCAAAATTTTTAGATTTAAGAAAATTTTGTAAAATCTATGGATGGAGTTTTAACTCCCACCAAACCCACCCTGTTCAGCCAAGTCCTTCGTCTCACCCGCCATGTTGACTTTTAAGCCCTCTCTTCTTCCAAAAACCTGTGTCCTACACCTGTGACAGCAGCGGTCCAGAGCCTCTGCAGCCCTGTGATGCGGATCAGAGGGCTGACATCTCTTCTGCGCCGGGTCTCCCATGTCTTCTGCTGTATTCTGAGCAGGAGGAGATGGAAGCAGGGAAGGCGTGGACTTCCTTCTCCGAGACGAGCCCGTTGGTCACTTCTCTGCCTTTTCCCGGGGCGTGCTCACACCGGTCCTCCTCCGAGGTGAGCCGTGGTACCGTTTCGTCTCTAATTCGATACCTGTTTTGTTTTCTTCTATCTTTTATCGCTTTCCATCGAGTTCTCACGTTGCCTGTTGACGGAGCGGAGGAAGACGAGAAGGAAACAAACCAGATGGCGGCAGGACCTGTACCAGTTTCATCTCTCTGCTGTGAAAACTTGTTTTTTTTTTTCTTTTAACTCGAGCAGACGATGGAAAGGGTCGTAGGGCTCGAGAAAGAGACGGTGCAAATCTGCTTCATTCCACAAACCCAAGGTCCCGTTTTTTATCCCAAGGTTGGGGCTTTTTGATTCATTTTTTTATGGGACAGATGACGGGAGGGTCAACAGGCCTATTTCTACTGACGTCTCTTTCTCTCTCTTCCTCGGCCTAGAGATTTCCTTTTCCTTTGTTTTGCGAGGCTTCATAGTGTCCACGCGTAGGAAGTCTCCTTTTATCTTCCACACCCGTTTACACCAGCTCGCACCAGCCTCTCGGCCTTCTAAAGCTTCGATCTTTGAGGTCTCGGAGCAGGAAACTGCCTCGTTCGCGTCCTAGGTGGTAGGGAAGGGAGAGGAAGACAGAACGCGGTTCTTGAGTTCCTCTTGCCTTCCTTCTCTTTCTTTCTGCCCTTCGGTGACAGCGAGAGGGTGTTGAGGCATCTGCTCATACCTTAAACGGATCGTCTATGCTTTTGCATCCTCTGGTGTATCCATCAGATCTCCCTTTTTTTATTTTTTTTTTGTGTTGTATTTGTTCTCCCTGAGTCCTCTTCCCCTCTATTCAGTTCTGTCGATTTGATTCTGCTCCTTTGTTTATTGCATGGAGATCTTGTTCTAAGACCTTGGGAAACTCGGAAATCTGGGTTGAAAAGCGAGAACACGCATTAGATCTACTACTAGCATCTGCTAGCACTTGGTGAGGAAGAGTGTTTTTGAAGCAACGAAGCGAGTTCGAAGAGGTGTGATTGAGAAAGAGAGGAAATAAAATTGATCTTCAATGAGTTTTGGAGGTTTGTTCGACAGCGGCTCCGGCAGCGGTGGCGGTGGCGCTCGGACGGGGTTGGCCGATGCGGTGCACCGCAGCTCCACCGCCATGTCCGCCAGCAACATCTCACAGCCGCTCCTCGCCTCGCCTTCTCTCCCCATGTTCAACTCCCCTGGCCTCTCCCTCACCCTGGTAAGTTTTACCACTCACTATTTCTCTTCCTTTTTCTTCTTCCGTTTTCTTGCGTTCATGTAGAGGTTTCAACGAGTATACCTTTTGGTTTTCCGGCCAGCAATCGGATATGGAAGGCACGGGTGCCGCCGGTAAAGGTGGAGCGTGGGATCTGGATTCGGGGCGTCAGAACAAGGAAGACGAGAACGAGAGCCGGTCAGGAGGGAGCGACAACCTGGGAGGACTCTCCGGAGACAATTTAGAACAGGAGAACCCGCGCAAGAAGAAGCGATACCATCGCCACACCCCGCACCAAATCGAAGAACTCGAAGCGTAATGAGTCCAACCATCTCACTCCATTCCTTTGATTGCAAGAACATTAAACGACCGAAAAAAATAGACAGCTCTCAATTTAATCCCCCATGTACAGATTCTTCAAGGATTGCCCTCACCCTGATGAGAAGCAAAGGTTGGAACTCAGCAAGAGGTTATCCTTGGAGGCTCGCCAGGTCAAGTTCTGGTTCCAGAACCGCCGAACCCAGATGAAGGTATCATTTCATTCTTTTCTAAAAATATTCATCTACTTCTGATTATTATATCTTCCTTACATGCTTGGGCGTCGATTGAATCAGACCCAAATGGAACGCCACGAAAACATGATCCTAAGGCAGGAGAACGACAAGCTTCGCGCTGAGAACTTGTCAATTAGGGAGGCGACGAGGAACCCTCTCTGCAGCAACTGCGGTGGGCTGGCGATGCTCGGCGAAGGGTCGCTCGAAGAACAACACTTGAGAATTGAGAATGCCCGTCTCAAGGATGAGCTTGATCGTGTTTGCTCCCTCATTGGGAAGTTCCTCGGCAAGCCTATATCTGCGTTGTCTAGTCCACTTCCTCTCCCGATGTCAGATTCAACATTGGATCTTGCAGTCGGGAACAATGTTTTCGGTGGCCTGGGTTTGGTGACCCCGGCAACGTTGCCTCCGGTCACTGATTTCACCGCCGGAGCAACAAGCGGCCCATTCGGCACCGTTACAACTCCTGCAAGGAACGTTGGCACGGGAACTCTAGACGGTGTGGATAGATCGCAGGAGAGATTCGTGTTCTTGGAACTTGCACTCACAGCAATGGATGAGCTGGTGAAGATGGCTCAGATGGAGGATCCTCTTTGGGTTCCAACTTTGGATGGAAGGAAGGAGACACTGAACTACGAGGAGTATCTTCGAAGTTTCCCTCGCTGCATCGGTGCGAAGCCCGTTGAGTTGGTGTCGGAGGCCACCAGGGCTACCGGCGCCGTGATCATCAATAGCTTGGCGTTGGTTGAGACTCTCATGGACGCCGTGAGCTTTCGTCTGTTGCATTTGCTTTTATCAGCTGATCACTTGCATCTTCCAGCATCATGCTAATAAAATCTAATTTCTTTTTATCATATTCTTACATCAGAATCTTTTTACTGCGTTTGCATCGATCTGCATTGAAATGTTTCTTTGCTTGCTGTTTCACCTCCTATACAGATAATTTTCTTCGAAATCGTCACTTGCATGTGTCCTCCGAGCAACTTTTTGGAGTGAACTAATACGTCGTTTGCTATATTTGTAACCCATTCATGCGCAGACTCGGTGGGTAGATATGTTTCCTTCTGTGATTGCAAGAGCGACCACCATTGATGTGATCTCCAGTGGCATGGGTGGTAGCAGAAATGGTGTGCTCCAACATGTGAGTCCATGGCATTCAGATGTGTATTTATGCTAGTAGCTGTTTGCTACACAATTATTCTCCTAATTGCACCACAATTTCCTGGGTCTGCAGATGCATGCAGAACTTCAAGTTCTCTCGCCGCTGGTGCCTGTCCGAGATGTCCGTTTCCTTAGGTTCTGCAAGCAACTTACAGAGGGAGCTTGGGCGGTAGTAGATGTCTCCATCGATGGAATTAGAGACGACCTTTCTGCTCCACCTCCTAATATGAGTTGCCGCCGGTTGCCGTCTGGTTGTCTGGTGCAGGACATGCCTAATGGTTATTCTAAGGTATTAAAATCCTTCCTCATCTCCACTCTCTCCCTTCCCGCTCTACCTATTAGCAGTCTATCAGCAGTGACCACGCATGGGTTACCTTTGGATCAGTGTTAATAACTTTGACTTAGACATGTATAATATGTCTCTCTGCACACAATACGTTCCTCGGCGTGCTCAAGTGTTACTGTTGTGATTCCCTGTCTCTTTTTCTTCGAGTCAAGGCCTAAGCTCGTGCTTCCAAGTCTAATCGAGGTCTCGTGCCAGTATATCTTCTTCTACCAAAAATATTTCAGTCAGCGAAAGACGGATTTGTGTTAGTCTTCGATCCTTTTTTTTTATTATTAGTATATTCACACGTCTTTCCATGTTCATCATTTCTCGTGTTTGTTTCTTCAGACTTTTAGATGCTTCTCCCACACTCTCGAGAGCACCACTTCTGGGTTGTTCACCGTCCGCTTATGAATAATGGATGATGTGCCGCCAACCATTTGGCTAAGGCTGCTCTCACCGTCATTATCTGTGAAGGCTTGGCTATTGTTCACCGTTCCATTTGTTTTCCAAGTCCTCGTACGGAAATTACCCTTTCTATTCCTTTCCGTGTTCTTTACCTTGCCTGTTGTGCAACCCCTTGTACACCGAGTCTCTCTTGGTAACTTTAGATATCATATGCTCTTGACGACGCTATTTGATCTCACTCTCCTGACAGCGTGCATCATGTCAACAGAGACCTCAATTTAATTTAATAATCAGCATCACCTTGGCATTTGGCCAATTGTATAACCTTCTTAGTTTGGTTCAACATTTTCCTATCGTTGTTTCTTCGAGTCAGTTTCTCATATCGATGCTCATGTGATCCTCGGAAGCTTTTCTCCGTTTGTCTAACCTTCTGACTCGAGTGTAATCAATTTAGCAGTGTACTGTGTGCCCAGTGTACTCAGGTAAACAGCAAACTGCGTTTCACGGTGGTAAGGTATACAGCGTTCTAGGGACATGATACGTTAAGTCAAGGTCCAGCTGTGGCACAAAAGTCAACGTTAAGGGACACCCGGCATTAATGAGCTAACTGACGCGGTGATGCACAGGTCACATGGGTGGAGCACGCGGAGTACGACGAGGCCGCGGTGCACCCGCTGTTCCGGCCGCTGGTGCGCTCCGGCATGGCGCTCGGCGCACATCGTTGGGTCGTCTCCCTCCAACGCCGGTGCCAGTCCTTGGCTATGCTCATGTCCTCTTCGCTCTCCCATGATGATACCACCAGTAAGTCCCAGCAAAAATGTGCAATTGCGATTGGCATGGATTGATGATATGGCGGCTGATTGTTGAACTCTGGTCGCAGCAATAACGCCGAGTGGGAGGAGGAGCATGCTGAAGCTGGCGCAGCGCATGACGGACAACTTCTGCGCCGGGGTGTGCGCGTCGTCAGCCCACGAGTGGAACAACCTCAGTGGCGGGATCAACATCGGCGAGGACGTGAGGGTCAAGACCAGCCAGAACGTGGCCGAGCCCGGGGAGCCACCGGGGGTGGTGCTGAGCGCTGCCACCTCGGTGTGGCTCCCTATCGCCCCACAGCGCCTTTTCGACTTCCTCCGCAACCAGCAGCTACGGAGCCAGTGGGATATCCTCTCCAACGGCGGTCCCATGGAGGAGATGGCCCACATCGCCAACGGAAAGGAGACCGGCAACACCGTCTCCCTTCTCCGTGCCAGCGTCAGTATATTTATCGTTTCACGCACATCTATTTCCTTTTCGCCTTTCTTTCTCTGGTTGGACATTTTACTTGCGTGATCGGTGAAAGGTTTGGAAAAATAATCAGAGTCTGGTACTGGCTACTGTAGCGTCAGACTAGTGGGGCCATGTCGGTGGTCGGGAACTTGCTGGATGACAGATCCATGAAAAGATGGATTGACGTGACTACTGACGATCCATTGCTGTCTTTGGCCTTGTGTTCAAGCTTTCTTCTCACTCTATACGTGGTTTATTGGTTTACGTAATTCACCTTATATTTTATAGATTTTCTGAAGTTAAATGGACTTGTTGTATGTTTTGGTCAGTATGTTGCAAATCTGGTTCACTTCCTAAATGATGTGTTGGGTTGTTACAACAGGCGGTGAGTGCAGACCACAACAGCATGCTGATACTGCAAGAAACGTGCACGGACGCGTCCGGGTCGGTTGTGGTGTACGCCCCGGTGGACGTGCCGGCCATGCACCTCGTTATGAGCGGCGGCGACTCCACCTACGTCACCCTTCTCCCGTCTGGTTTCGCCATCCTCCCCGACGGCCGCGGAAGCGGCGCAGGCGTCACCCACAAGGCGGGAGGGTCGCTACTCACCGTCGGGTTTCAGATTCTGGTGAACAACCAGCCGACGGCGAAGCTGACGGTGGAGTCGGTGGAGACCGTCAGCAACCTTATCTCATGCACCGTGGAAAAGATCAAGGCAGCCATCCACTGCGAAGCTTGAAGAGGAGCAGACTTGTTGAGGAGCATGGCGAGGATGTCAGGTAATGCATGGATTGAGTCAAGAACGAACCACAACGTAAAAAACCTTTGCCAAGTAGTTAGGAAGTATGGAAACACTGCTAAAACCCTATCGGCACTAAGAGCAGTCCATAATCCTTAACACGGAGCAATGGTGGTGGTTCGGGCATTGACTCGTTCCAATCGACGCCCTTGCTGAATCTCCAGCGCAGTGAGATGCTGCATGATTAGTATTGTAGTGGTTTGGCCTTTGTAGTTTTTGCCATCTGAAACATAGTCAACTAGTGATGAAAGGAGCAAGTAGTGCTGTTTGCTGCATATGAGCGTAGTTTTTTATCGGACATATAAGTTGCTTCGTATAACTGCATATGAGCTCCATTAGCTCTTCCTTTACTTCCTCTGTGTTTACCAGCCATACCATGTCGATAAAAGAAGCATGTGAAGGTAAAAAGGAAACTGTACTCGTGACTAGTGGGGTTCCCACGCTGCATTAAATGCATGGCAGCTCGGCAGTGCAGTAGCACTAAATGCTGGTCGTAGATTTTTTTTCCCTTTTTTTTTTTTTTCTTTTCACGAGGTCGTGGACAGAATTCATCCTTATCGCAGCCTTACGATTCAGAATCCGATAAGGGTTTTTCAAAAGGTTTAAAATTTATATTTTACACTGAAATAGAAAAAAAAATCAAAAAATATCATCTTAAAACGAGAAATCAAAATAAAATTATGATTAGATAAAATTTATTCAAATCATCAAAATCACTTTTAAAAGATTAAAAATAACATAACTAAATTTATTATTTTTTTAATTAAAAAATCGATAAGATAAAAATAAAAAATTTTAAAATGTATTCTTTTTTAGTTGTTTATTGATTTCATATAAGTATGTTGAAGTTTTTTTTTTTTTTTGTCAAAACCATGCATCATATTTAAAATTGAAAAATAAGATTAATCATAAAAATCATTAAGATCAAAAGTGTAACATATAATTTCAAAATATATGTTTTAAATCATCATTATTTTAAATTATCATGCATAATATAAAATCATCAAGCATAATATCAAATCTTTTAATATTTTCATTATATTATTACATCATTTAAACATGATTTCATTCAACATAAGATATTTTCAATCAAAATTATTTTTTTTATTGTAGTAAAATATTTTTCTTTTTAAGTGAATCTAACTCTTCGTATGCCTAGGAGTTAATATGTAATTATCATGATCAAAAAAATTTTTTTTTTTAATCACTAGAAAGAGAAGCATGATCCCTCCCCCCCCCCCCCCCCTTGCCCTCGTAGTTTGTCACATCTTCTTTGTCGGTTTGCTCATCGTCTTCGGATGTACTTAATCCGTCCTATGTTGCCTTGAATGTCTTCTTCTTCTTTTGTTACGGACATTTGCTTTTGAGATGCCCTGGCCGATTGCATTCATAGCAAGTTATTGTGTTCCTTTTGAGCTTATTTTTTATTCTTAGTTTCTTGTTTTATGAATTTTTTAAATTTTCTCGTCAAAAGTTTTATGTAATCATCATCATCACTTGAGTTATTACTCAAGTGGTATTCTTTGGTTCTCAGTGTCATATCTTTCCTATTCTTTCGAAGGTTGTTCTTATGTTCGTCTTGTGCCATATAACTCATTTCATAGGTCATTAAAGACCCAATAAGTTCTTTAAGTGAAAAATTATTTAGGTTATTTGCTTCTTGAATGACATTTACTTTTGAAATCCAATTTTTAGGAAGAGAACATAAAATTTTATTCACAAGTTCAAGATTCAAAAAACTTTTACCAAGTGCTTTTAAACCATTGACGACATTCGTAAAATGGGTATACATGTCTCCAATGGTTTCGCCTGGTTGTATATGAAACAATTCAAAATCATGCATCAAAAGATTAACTTTAGAATCTTTAACCATACTTGTGCCTTTGTGTATGACTTCAAAAGTATGCCAAATGTTATGTATAGTTTCATAAGTCGAAATATGATTAAACTCATTTTTATCCAAAGTACAAAATAAAGCATTCGGAGCTTTTGCATTTAAAGAAAAAATTTTTTTCTCAAAGTCATTCAATTCATTGAGGTTTATAGGGGGTTTGAAAACCAAGTTTAACGATATTCCATAAATCAAAGTTTAAAGAAAGCAAGAAAACTCTCATCCGAGTTTTCTAATAAGTGTAGTCCGTCCCGTTGAACATAGGAGGATGAGTGATAGAAATACTCTCTTGAAAACCCAAAAAAGCTATCTCTCTTGGGTGTTAATCCAATCAAGAAAAACTAGCTCTGATACCAACTGTTAAGATCAAGTCGGCACTAGGGGGTGGGTGAATTAGTGCTTACATTAAAAACGTCGGTTTGACGTTCGATAAAGCTCGTATTGGAAAGATTAGTTTAACTTAAAAGTATTTATAAGGATAGTGAATAAGTAAATTAGTTTGCAATATGAATGAAAAGCATAAAGTAAATACAAATCAGATTTATAGTGGTTCGGTTATTGTGACATACATCTACTCTCGATTCCTCTTTACTCTAAACCACCGACTTCCACTACCATTTTACACCTCTTTCTCCTTTTCACAGGCTTAGGAGAGAACTTTTATATCTCTCTTTCTTTTAGACCTCACTCCTCCCTTAGAAACCTTCTAACTCTAGGAGGAAGAGACTCACTAAACTTAGAGAGAATCAAACACTTTTTAACTTAGAATTCTTTTCCCTTTCTACTCAATTCTTGGATCTCCATGTAGAAATAGCTGGGGTATTTATAGATTTTAAATAACTTAAAAAATGGAGCTAAAAAAGGTCTTATCCTGGATTTTTTGGATCCTGGTGGTACCATCGCTTGTGCTAGGTGGTGCTACCGCTTGCAGCACTGACACTAGATGGTTCCACCGTTAGACACAATCTAGGAGACTATATCTGGGCAGTACCACTGCCCAGTCTAGCGGTACTATAACTTAACACAATATGAAAGATTGTCTTGGAGACTGAGCCTCTAGCGGTGCCAGCGCCTGAACCGACGGTGCCACTGCTTGAACCAACGGTGCCACTGCCTGAACCGACAGTGCCACCGCCTGACCCAACTTTTGGGTCACTGAATGAGCCTTTCTCTTAGCCCAAAATAGCTCCAACATAGGCCCAATTGGCCCTTAATTTAGTTAGTATGGTTATACTCGAAACCAACTTAATTAACTCTCTAAACTACTTTGATATAGACAAATTATTACAAGCAAGAATACTAAATTATCTAGCATATCATTGGTTCATCTAGCGCTTCGTCTAAACCTTTGGTGCATCGTCCTCTCTTATAGAGTATTTTCTAATCAGCATGTTGACCTCTGTAACACCCGATCTCCTTGGTGCAATATCTGATCCTTCTAGCCCGATGCTCGAATTCATGGCATGAAGCCTTTTGTGGACACGACGACCTTCCTCTGGTCCGTTGTCCAATCTTCTGACATGTTCCATTCCGGCCCAACTTCTTATTCTTCTTGTTTTAATTGTCTTTTCATGATCGAAGCTAGTCCTGCATCACTCAAAATACATATTAGATCATAAACTCATCAATTGATTTAATTATTAAAATATGAGATTCAACACCTACCATATGTATCACTACTAGAAAGGAGGACATTTGACCTCCATCCTCTCCTATAGATCTATAGGTTTTTAGGGATATACGATCTCCCTAGGTAATTCTTTTACACATAGTTTTTTAGTTTTGCGGGTTTTTACGCACTAACTTTTGCTCGACAATGAAACCTTCTTTTCTACGGGAATTCTGGGATTTTATTTTTTTATTCTTCCACTATACATATGATGTCACCCTAGATTTCCCAATAGTGATATCGTTGCTTATGCAAAAGATTAGTTTTTAAACTATATATGTTGTGTTCAATCGCTTTGAAATTATTTTACGTGATTGTTGTGATTTTTTGTTATAGTTTTTAAATATGTACTACACCTTTTCTTGCTATTAAGAGGTGTTTTAGATAGGGCTTTTGATTTCAAATTTGTTGATACAAAAGAGGAAGAAAGGGCAGCAATTGTTGCTTCCCCTTAGATTGGTCAAAGGCTGCTTGCAGCCTTGGCCGAGAGCTCAAATTTACTACTCTTGGCCTGGCCAAAAGCAATAAGAACGAGAACAGCATGGCTGCCCTCAACCTACTGCATGGCAGCTCTTGCAGCCAGGTTTCCTAGCTGCAAGGGGCACCCCTGGCAGCTAGGGTTTTTTGGCTGCAGGGGTTGCCCAAGCGGCCAAGAGTTCTGGGCGCATGGGGCACTTGCAGCTCGTGGCAAGCCATGGCAGCTCTGCAGCCATAATTTCTTAGCTATAAGGGACTCCTTGGTGGCTAGGGTTTCCTAGCCATGCAAGGCAATCCAATGGCCTAGGATTCCTGGTTTTCGAGGAGTCTCTATATGGTAATATTTTCTTGCTTAAGAAGGAACTGCCTGCCATGTGGGGAACTTGCCATGTGGGGCACCCTATAGTAGGGTTCCCAAAATGCTGCATATAATTAATTAAAATATTTTAAATAATTATTATTATTTAGTAGTTCTACATGGTGATGTGTATATATGATGTATGATGTAGACGGATGATCATGGATCTTGTGATGTGTGTGTACGTGTAATGTAATTATTATTATTATTGGGGCATACAAGCCTCTAATTTATATCTTATTTATTATCAGGTCTACATGCTTGTGATTAAGTTGTAATTACATAATGAGGCTCAACGGGAGCATGGAAGCGATAGCGGAACACACGAGGCCGTGATGGATGATCGCAAAGCATGGAGATGTGCCGAGATCCCAATAGAATCGATGAGGATGAGATGGATGATCATAGGGCATGAAGATGCGCTATTGCGCACATAGACATTGATGTGAGTGATCAAGCTCACTGGCTTAGGCTTGATCACATTAGGATGTGGTTAATGATCATCTAGTGTGATTGCTCATATGATGTGTGATTGATTATAAACCTACTAGATATGTATATATATTTGCATGCGATATACATATATATTAAATATGTATATGTGTGACACATTACATTAGGAGATCGAATCAAAATCATCTCTCTCAATAATATTAAGTTAGTAAACATAAGACAATTAAATTAACCCATGTGACCTTCTATCGTTATAAGTAAGGAATGATTCCCAATGTAGGTTGCGTTGGTCGAGTCCCTCGAGGCTCACCTATATCACGATTCGTTATCTTGCTTATGATATAGAGATGTCACCGATGACCTGAGGACATGGTATGCTTGGTCGAGTCCCTCGAGGGTATATCATCGAATCAGACTCATCTTGTAATTAAGGTGTTGACTTAACCGAACATCATGGTTGGTCGAGTCCCTCGA